GGTCCCTAGGGTCATTTCCCCCAAGTCCAGCGCGGGCTGGGGCAGTGGCCACACTCACTCAGCCCCCACCCCCACAGCAGCTCGACCGGGCACCCTAGGAGGACACTGAACAGCTGGGGTATAGCTGGAAGGGGGCAGGAGAGGAGTGCGGCCCAGGCATCCAGGGTTGGGGGCGCCTGCTTCTGGGGTGTCTGGAGCCACAGACCCTCACTGGCCTCTTCAGGGCCAGCCTGCTGTTTGCTCTGGGGCCTTCCACCCTCGGCAGGCTCTGCATACAGCTGGTGCTCAATAAAAGCTCACAGTTGTTGATGGCGGAGGACGGTTCCTGTGCCCCTGTGTGGGTTGCCACTTCCTATCCCCATCTCTGCCCTGTGGTCAGCGAGAGGTCTTGGGGGGCAGGAGGGCAAGCTGCCAGGGGACAGCAGGGTCCTAGGAGGTGCAGGCCCCCATAGGCTGGGCTGCTAAGGACCTGGCAGTGGGCGGGGGTCACATCACCCTATGGGGGCCGCTGTGGAGGGGCCTGCCCATGAGGAAACAGGCAGTGGCTTTGGGGGCCCCAGAGGGGCCACCTGGGAAACGGGTGCTTGGCTGGCTGGCTGGGAGTTTGGGGGCCTCGGGCCAGACACAGTCTTCAGCCTCTGCCCCCAGCAGCAGCCCCAACCACAGTGACCACCAAGATGACTGGGCCTGAGGGGGCCAGCACGGGCCGGCTCCTGATGGGCATGACCTAATGTCACCCCCATCCCTGATGTGGCCGTGACCCCAGCAGGGGCAGAGCTGGCCAGGCCACCAGGACGTCTCCCAAGACCGGGCAGGGTCTGCTGCCAGTGTTCTAAGTCGAGGCACAGGGCGGGGAGGGTCCCCGTCCTGAGAAGCCTTGTGGGGAGAGTCTTCTCCCTGGGGCTGGGGGTGGCCGGGGGGAGCAGGCTCCACGGCCTGGGGTCAGGGGCCCACCACATTGGGCTGACGGGCCCACCAAGACCACTGACCTTGCCCTAGGCTCTGACAGCACAGAGACTGACCACTAGGGTGCTTTGGGGGTAGCAGGCAGCACCTCAGAATTTGGGGCCTGTGTGTAGTGACCTAGAGCCCCCAAGAAGCCAGGAGGGCTGGCTGGGGAGGCAGAGACCAGCTACACCCCGCAAGTGCCGCCCCCCAGTGTCACCCCCAGCTGAGCCACCCCCCCAGACTTGCCAGGTGCTCAGTGAACAAGGCAGAGTCCCAAGCCAGGCACCAGGCCACACCTCATTCTGCAGAAACCCAGATCCCCAAGGGTCCGGCCTGTGGGGTCCCAGCAGGAATGCAGGGCAGCCCCCCATGCGCTCTCTCGTGGGGGGCACAGGACGGTGGGCCTGGGGGGCACCAAAGCTTGTGGACATTTTCCAAGGGGCATGATCAGATCTGGGGGTGGGGGGTAAGGCCCCAGGGAGAGGGGGAGGGACAGCCTCTGGAGGTGAAGGGAAAGCAGAACTGGTTTGGGATGGTGATGGGGAAGGTGTGTCAAGGGGGCCGGATGCTGCCCAACTTTGCAGAAAGATGCTGGGAAAGACCCCACCCCTGAGTCCTTGGGGACCCCTGTCCCCAGGGGGCTGGAGGCTAGGTGACCTTCCCTTTGACCTTCAGGAAACTGCTCGTACCTCCCAGGCCAGGGGTGTGCAAGTCACTGGGGTCCTCATGGGCAGCAGGGGTGGGAAGCGGCTGTCCTGTGTCTGGAGCCTTGAACATTTCGCAGGAGGAGAGGGCTTCGAGCCCCTCAGGTCAGGTGCAGCCATGGGCCTCCGCCCCCCGGAGCCACACCCAGGCCCTGCCAGGCCCAGAGGGTCCCGGGATCCGGTGCTCCCCTGCCCTCCCAGTGCACCTCGCTGTCTGTCCACCTGGGTTGTGCTCTGGGCTTTGGGGGCTCCGACAGCCTGACGTGCAGGGACCTAGCCCCCTGTCCGCCCCTCCCAGGTACGTCCTGGGCAGTGCTGCAGCCACGGCCCCCACCTGAGCCGAGCTGGCTCCAGCCAGATCCCAGACCCAGGCCCAGCCAGTATGGCCACCCATGGAAGGTTCTGGAGGAGGGTGGCACACTAGGGTGCTGACATTCACCAGCAGGTGGCACCCAGCTCCCGCACTGTGGGGGGAGGGGGCTGCGTGTGTGTGTGTGTGTGTGCGTGTGCGCGTGTGTGAGAGAGAGACCATGTGAGCGAGCAGGCATGGGGGCCCCACATGCGTGTGAATACTGAGTGTGTGCACACCGAGGCCAGAGTGCACGAGCACTTGGATACATGAGTGTGAGCAGCCTCACGGCCGCTGGAGCCCGGGTCAGAGGACATCCCTCTGTGACCTGACTCCCTCTGTCTTTGTGCACTGTGGGCCCTGGGGAGCGTCTTCCACGGCTCCAGCCACCTGCAGGCCCGGCACCCGCACAGCCACGGGGACAGGCAGGTCTGCCACCTGCATGCGGGGTGGGTATGTCACCTTTCTGTGCCTGGTCTGTCCCTGGGACAGTGGCCATCTTTCCCTCTGCTAAATGCACAGTGATGGTCACTTGAGCACAGGGAGGGCCACCCACCTCTGAGCCCTGGGCAGGTCGGCCATAGTGAGCGAGGCTCAAGGAAATTGCTGAGATTCAGCCTGATAAGCAGCCCGAAGCGCCAGTCTGTGTCCCTCCTCAAGAGGGGGGCCCAAGCCCCACCCAGAGGCCCCAGGTCTCAGCGCAGGCCCCCCCCAGGGGATGGTCAGGGCCCCTCGTAGGAAAGCCAGGAGCCAGGATGAAGACAGAGGGGCCCATCCTGGCAGCGGGCCCCTGGGGCAGGGGACGCATGACCACTAAGTCCTAAGGCCCGTGAAGCTTGGGGCGTGCCCAGAATTACCACCCAGCTCTGAGGGTGGGAGGAAATGGGACGCTGCCTGGAGTCACCACAAAGGCAACGCAGATGAGCAGCTCGAGTGTGTACCTCCCTCCCCCTTCCGAGGAGGGCCCGTCCGGTGTCCGCAGGCTGGGGGAGGCACACGGGGAGAGCTTCCGACGTCCCCATCTCCCTGAAGAAGGAGCAGCCGTGGCCAGGGAGGGCAGCCGGCCAGTGGTGGCCACCCCCAGGAGGGGCTGAGGCCCCACGAAGCAGGACCCAGAGCAGGGCCGGGGGCCAGGGTCCGGGACACAGCCCGGCTGGAGCAGGGGTGGGGCATCCGCCTGTGGCCATGTGCACAGGCCTCAAGGAAGCGGATGTGGCCTTTGACCAGCAGATTACAGATCTGGCCAGGTGGGAAAGTCAACAGAAAGCTCTCAAGGAACAGCTGGTGGGGGCCTGCCTGTGCACGCGGCATGGGGTCGGCCGCCGGGGGTGGGGCTCAGGGGGTGCCGGAGGACACCAGCCTCAGACACTCGGGGAGCAGAGCCCAGCACAGGGCGGAGAGTGCAGTCTGCCGTGGTTAGTGGTCATGGCCACCCTTGTCCTGCAGGCTGTGAGGGCCCCGGTGAGGCCACGGGGGCCCGAGGGCTGGGGGTCCCACATTCATCTCAGGAGGAGGTGGGGGGAGAGGGACTCATACCCTGGGTGGTCCCGTGGGAGGGCTGCCTGCGAGCAGCAGGCTCGAGAGGCCTGAGGGAGAGAGGTGTGGCTCAGGGCTGTCCACGGCACAGACCCCTCCCGGGCAAGGCAGGGGCCTGCAGGTCCACCAGCAACAGCCCACAGCGCCTCCAGAAGTGGGCTTCTCCTTCTGTGACAACAGCCCACACGGAGGACGAGCACAGAGGCCCGTCCCACCCACTCCCCGAAAGATGAAAAAGACGCACCACATAGCCCCCAAAACAGAGTCTCCAAAGAGCAGAGGAATTCCCGCCGTGCCCCATGAGGAGATACTAAGCACAGAAATGTATGTCTGGTGTTGAGTCGTGCCCCCCAAATTCCTACGAGGAAGTTCTGACCCCCAGGACCTCAGAATGGGACCCGATTTGGGAATAGATAGGGTCCTTGCAGGTGAGGTCATTAGGGTGGGCCCCTCATCCCATGTGACTGTGTCCTTACGAAAAGGGGAAACGAGTCGGACTGGCTCGCAGGGAGAGGCAGGGGGAGCAGGTGAGGGGTGCGGCTAGAAGCCAGAAGCCCCCAGAAGCCAGGACCACCAGCAGCTGGGGGAGGGACGCCGCAGTAGGAAGCAGCCCTGCCCACACCTGGATCCTGCCCCCGGAGCCCAGCGGGCGGGCAGGGCTGGTGCCAGGGCCACCCCAGGGCAGTAACACGACCCTCGGACAAGGTTCATGTGTTTATCTTCTCGAGACTTTTCTGCATTTTTCCACATTTTACTGAGTGTGTACCACGGTACAATTTTTTGTTATTTAAATTCCGTCTCATCAGGGACTCCCACCTCCGTCCCAGGAGAGGAGAGATGCAGGGAGGGGACCCGGAGGAGCTTGGCTGCCACCCCGAAGCTGAGAACAGACGCGGGGTCAGGGAGGGCGGGGCCCGGGGACAGCAGGAAGTCCCTCCGTCCCACTGGGCAGGGCCTGCGGTGAGGAAAGGGCCGCACAGGGGTGGGGGGCAGCAGGTGGGGGGGGCGCCTGCCCCCCGGCGACGCCGGAAAACCTCAGGATGGCGGCACAGCGGGTGGAGCGCTCTGCCGGGTCCCGCTGGGGCTGAGCTACTCCAATCCCGTCTCACAGTCCCAGAAGAAAGACCCAAGAGGACCAACCTGCTTCCAAGCCCAAGATCTGTAGGAAGACAAACACCCACGGCACCACAGGGCGAGATGGGCGCCGGCCCCTCAGACATCCAGCCAGAGGGCGGCAGGCAGGAAAGGAGCCAGACAGTTCGACCCGCGATCAGGAGAAAAGTCAGTCACTGGAGGCCAGCATGGCGGCAGTGGCCGTGCAGGAGGAGGGGTTAACACGCCGGGGGTCGGCCCGGTCACTGTCACTGCACAAAAAGGCGCCGTAAGGATGGGCCGTGCTGCGCAGGGACACGGAAGGTGTGAGAAAGTACAGAAACTACCGCTGCAGAGACGGCGTGCGGGGCATGAGTGGCAGGTGGGGCCGCCGAGGACACCGGCCACTCCGCCGGGAGGCCAGGACACACGTGAAGGAGCCCGCGAGCACGGGGCAGGCCGCCAACACGCTGCAGGAGCGGCGGACAGGCTTCGCTCCGGGTCTGTGGACGCCAGAAGCCCTGGGCACAGGACACGTGAAGGAGACCAAGCCCCAACGAATCGTCCCGTCGCTCGAACGCAGGGAGAAAAGGAAATTCCGCACAGAAGCCAGGGCGGGGACGGGTTGTCTGAGGATGAACACGCACGACACAGCGGCCGACGATTTTGCCAGAAACCACGCAAGTGAGCCGCGAGAAAGCAGCTGCCATCCTGGGGGAATAGCTCCAAAAACAAGGGCAGGAGTCAGGGGCTCTCAGACACGGCCGCCGGGCCCCGGGGAGCCGACGCCCGACCTGGTGACGTCCGCACACACGGACGGAGGTCTTCAAGCGACAGCGAACAACCCCGGAGCGGTGCGGTCAGGGCGCGGGGTGGGGCGTGTGCAGGGAGGCTGCCTGCGGGGCGGCGGTGCCTGCCGAGGGCGGCTGGGGTATGGGGAAGACAAACACCCTGCGCCCCACGGTGACCACCAAAACCTCAGGACCAAGAGCGCCTAAGGCAGCGGTTGCACTAAGGCCAACGGCCCGAAACCCCAGTGGGAAGGCACAGGGTCTCCGCCGGCATGGAATGGCGAGCACCCCGCCCGCCGTCTGAACAAGGCAACCGGCAAGGTGCACGGGAGTCGTTCCAAGTAAGACAGAAAAAGGCATGCAAACACATTGGAAGAAAGGCCGCATGATGCCATGAACACCCAAGTAGGTTTCGGAGCACGGAATACCCCCAGGGAGGAATAACATCACTTCACAGGGAATGAAGTCCAATTTCCTGGCCATAGCCCTGAAGAAGCAGAGAAAAACTGGTAAATCGGACATTGTCAAGATCAGGAACACAAAGGCACGGGGTGCCCAGGTAGGGCAGTCGGTGGCGTGTCCACTCCTGGCTTCAGCTCAAGTCACGATCTTGCGGTCGTGGGATGGAGCCCCATGTCAGGCTCTGTGCTCAGCTCGGAGTCGGCTCGCGAGTCTCTCTCCCTCTCCTTCTCCCAACTCGCGCTCTCTTCCTCTCTCAAATAAATCTTTTTAAAAAGAGAGAGAGAGAGAGAGAGAGCATAAGGATGCGCCACACACTCGAAGAAAGGTCTTTGCGAACCCTGTGTCTGGTGAAGGACCTGTATGCAGAACAGACCAAGAACTCTCAAAAGGGAATCGCAACCAAATCATCTGGTTTTAAAATGCGCAAAAGGTCTGAACGGACACTAGACACAGGCTGGTAGATACGCACATGTGTGCAGGACGGCACCACACGCCTGTCAGGACGGTCCCGCCACTCGCGCCCAGCGCTGGAGGGAGCAGAGGACGTGAGGACGCAGAGTGGCACGGCCGCTCTGCGGGGACAGTTTGCCGGGTCCCGAAAAAGTCAGCCGGACACCAGCCATACACTCCAGTCGCACCACGCCCGGGCAGCTTCCCCAGAGAAAGGGGAGCCCACGCTCGCGGCGATCCGATCCGTGCGCACAGGATCCTGGCCGGCCTAGCCGTGGGGGAGCGCACGGGCAGCCAGGGGCACGGCCTGCCAGGGCGCGCGGCTCGGCAACGCGACGGAACAAAGCGTTGATCGGGCAGCAACATGGATGAATCCCCAACGTCACTCAAAACGCTGAATGAAGTTTGCCAGACAAATCAGTCTATATGGCGTGGTTCCACTTACGTGAAGGTCTAGAACACGCAAACAAGTCTGCGGTGACCGAGGGCAGTCTGTGTGCCGCAATGCGGATGGGTCTCCAGGGCGCACGAGGCCCCTGGGGGCAGAGGAGGGGTCCTCTGGGGGCAGCTGTCCCGACGGTGGTGATGGTTTCAGGGGTATGTGTGTGGGTCGAAACCCATTAAACTGGACTCTTCAAATATGTGCAGATTTTTGTGAATCAGTTACACCTGATAGAGCTGCTAGAAGCCAAACAAAAACAAAAATAACACCCCCCAAAAAATCCTGCTTTTACCCACTGGGAGGAGGAGAAGAAAGACTCCATCCTGGGCCTCTGCCCCCCACGCTTTCAGAAATTATTCCCAAACTCTGAGGATGCAGGGACACACTGGGACCCGGCTCTGAGCCTGGAAAAGGTGACGAGCGAGGAGGGGTAGGGGCGTCAGGCCTCTGCCGTGGGGCCGGGAGTGGGGCCCACGCGAGTGGCTTGTGTCCTCCGGCTCGCCTCCAGCCACCAGCAGCCAGGGCCCTCTCGGCCCCTCCTGCACCTCGTGCCCCGTCGGAAACTCTGCAAGGTGAGGCCCCAGAGGCCACTGCCCGCGTACAGCTGGTGTCAATGCCCCGAACCGGGCTCCGAGGCTGAGTCGGCCCACCGCCCTTGTCACCTCTGCCTGTGCTCAGGTCGGGGGATAGGGCTGGGGCCCCTCAAGCCCAGGAGCGGCCCGCTCCTCTAACCCCCAGCCACAGGCACCTGCTTAGCAACCCCCCCCAGGGGGCCAGCATGACATCATGGCCACTGGGCAGCAGGTCCAGGCCCTGAGGCTCCCCCGAGCCGGCCCCTGGTGGGAGTGGCCCCAGAAACCCACCCGGTCCCATATGGCGTGTTCTGTGTTCCCCTTGAGCAGCCACAGAGAACCGGCCACTGTGAGCTGAGGGAGCCCTGGCCACCTCCTTGTCTATCTGGAGGCCACAGCTGGCCAGTGCCAGCCTGCCCAGGACCCCGCAGACCCAGCCCTGCCCACCCTCGCCTGCTGCCTGCCAGCGCCTGAATTGCTGTCACCCCTTTGTGCACGGCCCCTCCCCTTCGCCCAATTCTTGGTCCTCAGTTTCCCCATTTCTCGCTCTAGAGCCAGGCCCCCACCCTCTCACCAGTGTCCCACACTGCTACAGGCATTCCCAGGCCTGGCGGGGCCTCTCCCTACCCTGGCCCCAGCTCCCAGCCTTGAGGGTCTGGCCGCCCCGCTCTTACTTAGCCCACCTCCTCCAGGAAGCCTTCCTGTGCTGCTCAGGGCCCTCCCCAGTTCAGAGTGACTGGCTCAGGCTTCTGGGGGTCCTGCCAGACCCCCCAAGCTGATTACCTCCCATACTGCCTGTTAGGAACCACCTGTTTGTGACTCCCCCTGCCAAATTCCTATGTTGAAGCTCTTACCCAAAGGGAGTGGAATTAGGAGGTGGGGACTTCGGGGGTCGTGAGGGTGGGGCCCCCAGGATGGGATTCGGGCCCCTGTAAGAAGAGCGCCGGAGTCCTTCCTGTCCCCATGTGAGCACACAGCAAGAAAGCCCCAGCTGCAGCCGGGAAGGTTCTCAGCACACCCTGCGCTGCCCTGTCCAGGACGCAGCCAGAACCGGATCCCCCCAAGTGACCACCCCCTGAGGGGCTCACCTCCCATGTGCCCCTTCGCCAGCGTCAGGCTCCGGGGGAGACCCCACGGGCCACCACCACCTGGCCACCTGCTCCCAGGGTCCCACGGACGGCGGCCTGGGTCTCCCCACCCTGCAAACGCCCCTCACCGGCCACCCGAGTGGCCAGGCCCACTCGGAAGACAGAGACAGCCCAGATAACGCCCAGCCCGGCTTGTGGTGTGTTCCTCATCCTGCCTGCCACGGGAGCTCAAACCCCGAATCCTGCCTCACCAACCTTATCTGTTTGCTTTTCACTCAGCATCCGCTCCAATCAGGGCCCCAGCACGGAGGGGCAGGGCAGCACTCAGCCAAGGCAGGGGCGCCGCTGGGGGCCAAACGGGCTGGTGGCACATCACCGTAGCCACTCCCGGCTGGCCCACAGCTAGGGGGACAGTGGATCCTGCCTCCCGGGGGGCTCGGGGGAATAAGCCAGTGACCAACCGGGGAAAGCAGCACAGAGCCCCCCAACAGAGGGGAGGGGTGCTGGCCAGAGGTACTCTGGGGCTCAGAGAAGCCCTGGCCCCAGGTGGGAGGCATCAAGAGGCCCAGTGTGGGTGCCCCCCCTGCTGCCTCAGCTGAGCCCCCCCCAAGTGGAAGGGGAGGGTTGGCCAGGCTTGTCCTGCGGGGCGTCCAGCCCCAGGCCTGCTCTCCCAGGCCCCTTGGCTCAAGCTGCCCTGGAGCCAGCCATGCTCCTCCCGCTAGGCCTCAGCACGGGGTCAGGCACCGAAAACGGACAGAACATCAGGAGACCAGGAGAAGCCACACAGTGAACACACCATCCTGTTTGGGAACACGGTTCCACCAGGCCTGTGGCCACCAGCCTGATGCTCGGGCTGTAGCTTCCCCTGCTGGGGGCTCCCTGACCTGCTCTCCAGGCCCAGGCGCCACCAAGACTCCCTCCTGCAGCCCCAGACACGACATCTGTCCAACCTGATGGCCACACAACGGGGCCGTGGGCATTGGTCAGTGCTGGGGCTGCCCTGCAGGAGGCCAGGGCTGGGCGACACTCACCGCAAATCCAGGCCCAGGGGCAGGAAGAGCTGGGCCAAGGGGTGGGCAGAGGTTAAAAGTGCAAACGGAGCAGCATCAGTTGTGGGGAGGACAGCAGGGTGGCCCCGGGACCACAGGAGAGGGGGCTTGGGGAGGAGGGGCAGGGTCTGGAGGGGTGGCCCTGGGGCCCCTCGCCTGTGGTGCTGGCTCACTGGCTCTGGTGTTGCCCCCAGCAGCTCTGGGGTCTGGAAGGGCCAGCGAGAAGCAGGACCCAGCTCAGGAGGGGGCAGGAGGCCAGAGAGAAGGGCGGGTAAGGGCGGCTGGGATGAGAGAGGGAGGAATCTGGAGGCATAACAGGCCTGCGGGGGGGGGGGGGGCGCGGTGTCGAGTACACCTGGGCGAGGAGAGAAGGAGGGGCACTTGCTGGGACGGACAGTGGCCGGACTGCTGGGACCCCAGCTGCCCATGGATCTTGGGGAGAAGGCCGGGCCAGGGTGGGCAGTGGCTCTCAGGGCAGGCCTGAGGTCCTCGTCTGCGGGGCCCTCCAGGCCCAGGGTCTCCTGGTCTGCACCATCTGCCCAAGCAGCGGGCACCCAGGGGCTGGGCCTGACCCTCAGGGGGAGTCGCAGGAGGGGCTGGGCCAGGCCCCCAGCCCCTCGGTCCTGCCCCTGACGCCAGGGGTCCAGAATGTCCGCTCTGCACCCGGCAGTGGGATGCCACGCGGGCCGCACGCGCCAGCGCAGGCAGTCCTCTCAGCCTCCCCGACGGCTCCGACGGGTAGTGGCGGCTTGCCAGGCCGGGCACAGCTGCCCCAAAGGCAAATGCCCGCTCCCGTATTGAAATCTTTCCCTGACGCACCCCAAAGCCACCGTTTTTAGTCCTTTGATCTGACAGGGATTAGTGGGGCCAAGCCTCAGGGTGTGAAGGCCTACCGGCCCTTCCCCAAGGAGGTCACGCCTGACAGGCGGGGCCCAGAGGGGTGGGCCGACCCGTGTGCACTCTGGTGCCTCTGTACACGGGAGTCCAGCAAACCCAGGGTCTTGGGGGCTTCCCGCCTGGGACGAGCCCAGTCAGGAGCTTTCTGGAAGCACCTGCCAGCAGTAAAGGCCAACGTCCTCATGCAGGCTCTCGGTCCCAAGCGAAGGTCAGGTCAAGGCCGCTGGGGCCAGCACCCACCCTTCCAGCTGAGCTGTGAAGCTGGAGCAGTGGGCCGGCCCCGTTGCCTACACACTGGGGCTGGGGGCGGGGGCGGGGGCAGGGGCGGGGCCCGCCCGAGCTCCCTGCATCATGGCCAGCCCGGCCCGGCCATGCAGACAGGGGGGCGAGGGCAGGGGGGTCTGAGCCAGGCTTGAGGCCGGACAATCCCCCATTTGTCCGGCCCGCGGGTTCCCCCTCCCACGGCCAGCCAGCGGAAGGGGCCTTTGTTGCCCACACGGCCAGGAACAATGGCGACACACACAGTCTTATCTCCTGCTGTTTGCTCAGCACACGCAAGGCTCCTGGGTCAGCGAAGAGAAACGCATTCTCCTGGTTTGCCGCCAAACCTGCGTATAGAGAGGGACACGGGGCCCACCGCCCAGGAGCCCCCGCCTCACCAGGAAGGAGCCGGGCCCGGGCGCGGGCAAGGCTGCAAGGCCGAGGGCCGTCGGCTAACTGCACCCGCGGCGTGAACAGCCCGGAGGTGACAGGCGCTGGAATGCTCAGCAACAGTTTCCAGGAAACTCAGAGGCGCACACGTACACATGTGCTCAGGTTTCTCTCTACTCCAGGCCGCGCGGACAGCCCTGTCGCTGTCCCCGTGACCCAACCCCTGCTGGGGCCATGCTGGAGTCCCCCGAGCGGCTGGGGGTGACACTGGGGACCCCAACATGGGGACCCCTTATCTGCCACAAGCCCTGGCCTCTTCCCCAGGAGTGCGCACACGACCACGGTTTGGGTCCATCCGTCCCTGCCCCCTGGCCTGTCCTGAGGCACTGGCGCCCTCCAGGCCCCGGGACACATGGGCACATGGAGGGGTCGAGGCACTGCTGGGAGACAGGACAGCACCCGGTGTGCAGGGTGCTGAGTGGAGAGGTGGAAAGAGGGGCGGTCTGCAGGGAGGCAAGGAGGAGCCCGTGCCAAGGCCCTGTGGTCAGGTGTCTGCTGAGAGGGCAGCAGGCAGCCTTATGGCTGGGTGGGACACCACTGGCCAGCAAAGCAGTTGGGGGCCCGGCAAGGGTATGGGCGGAGAACAAGGCCTGGGGCTCCCCCAGCCCTGGCCGCAGGGACACCAGGGGCACAGCTTCACCCGCCCACCTCGGGAGGTGGCTTTAGTCGGTGGGAGAGGACCCCAGGCAGCCCAGGGACATTTTTCCAGCAGGGTCCTGGGCCTCTCTCCTCACCCTGCTTGTTCCGAGGCCTGACGCATCACCTCCCCGCTGCCCCCTGCCTGGGCGCCCCCACCCACCCAGCACCCTGGCCAGGACTGAGGTTCAAGGAGGGCCCACCTCTGGCCCCTGTGGGACCCTGGCCCCCACCCATTATTCAGAGCTTCACAAGCCCCCAGTGAGAGCATGAGCTCTCCGAGGTCAGGGAGAACCCTGCAGTGGCCCCATGGCAGAGCCCGGACAGAAACCCCAACCTGGGTGCACAGGATCCTCGCTGCAGTGACCCCAGCTGGGGAGGTTCCAGCGCACAGCACCCAGGAGAGCGTCTGGGAACCAGCCCCTCCCCATCCACCTCTGCTTCTGAGTGAAGGGGGGAACAGGAGTGCCTAGCACGCCCGGGGACCTGCCGTCTACATGGCGAGGCCAGCTGCCCACTGCGTGCAGTTCTCCGTTAGGTAAACACAGAGCATCTACTACCTTCTATAGCTGGGGCTCTAGGTTGGGAGGGGGTCTATGAGGCAGGGTGCAGCCCCCCCCAGCCCCAGGGGGGTCCTCAGGGGCAGGTGGGGTTCCTGCAACCCAAGTCTCTGTGGAACCAGAACCTCAGGAAAGGGGGAGCCCCCAGACCAGGGCCCCAGGCTCCCACACAGGCTCCCACTTGGGACCAGCCCGCCCTAGAGTCACCAGACCCACACCTGCTCCCCAAATGCTAGAGGACCCTACAGGATCCGAAACACTCACACCTCACTGACCCTGACCTTCCCCAATCGTGACCCTCATCCTGACCTCACCTTGACCATGACCTCGACCTTTGCCCTGATCCTGGGCCTCACCCTGACCCCCCATGACACTGGCATATGTCCCGCCCCACTCCCTGCTTCCTGAGATGCTGCCCCCCCGGAGCCATGTCCTTCTCCCGGGGCTGGTGGACACGGCCCTGCTCCTCCACCTGGGAGGTTGGCACCCTGAGGCTGGCACACAGCCTCCACAGAGATGCCCTCCCAGAGAGGACCCCCGTGGCCACTCCACCCCCGCTCCTGCGCCTACAAGCAGCTCGGAGCCCTGGGGGTCAGAAAACAGTCCTGGGGGCCCTTCTGGGTACAGCATGACCACTTTGGGCTGCCCCTCCGCCCCTAGCACTTTGGGCTCCCCCCACAGGGGCAGAGGGGGTGCCCGGCGTCTCCCCCACATGCCCAGGACAAATGCCTCTCAGCCCCAAGCTGTGGCTGATGGTGCCCTTGCAGATTCCTCCAGAACCGCCCCCAGGATGGCCCCAGCCATCTCAGCCCAGAGCACACGCAGGTCATGTCTGCAGGGCTCTGGAGGGCCTGTGCCGGTCCCTGCCCGGAGGCCAGTGATAATGGGGCTACTGTCCACCAAGGGGCTTTGCAAAGGCCAAGTCCTGATAAAACAGCGCCCAAGATCCTGTTTGGCCACTGCTGTGCCCAGTGGGTGTGGCCAGGGCAGGGCCTGCAGCCCCTACATAAGGCGTCCAGGGCTGGCCACTCTGGCTGGCAGAGCTGACACAGGTCCCGAGGCAGAAGGGGCCGGGTCCAGCAGCGACCTCTCTTCTCCACTGTCATGCTCGGGCCTTGGCTGCTGCTGCTTCTATCCTGTGGGGGGGCCCTGCTCGGCACTGGTGAGTGGGGGCCCACTGGCCACACCGTAGGGGCGGACAGAAGCCCTCCGAGGGTCCCTTCTCGCTTCATCAACTGGCCACGAGGACACTGATGGATGAGAGGCCCCTCCCCACCCTGTAGCCATCCCACACTGGCCAAGGCCCGGGTCCCCGTCAGGGAGCCGGCTCAGAGCCCAGCTCAGCCCGTGCACAGGCCGCCACTCACCCTGGCCCTGGGCACAGTGGCCAGGGAAGAAGGATGCTGGGCTGCATGCGGCAGGGGTTCCTCAGGGACATACAGTCTCCTCAACGATAGTGGGTGCAGTGGGACATGGGCACTCTGGGCAGGACAGTGCTGGGGGCTCTCACCACTGGGCCCTGGGTCCTAGGAGGGCTCTAGGGTGTAGGGAGCAGGGCAGGGGCCTCGTGGGCTCTGGGTCTCAATTTCCCCATCTATGACAGTGGAGGAAACATCTCCCACTCATGTGACTACCATACGGATTAAAGAAAGAGGGCCGAAGGGAACACGTTAGGGCCCAGGACCACCACCATTTTGCAGAGGCTCGGAAGGGACCACCCCACCCCAGAGCCCACCGGTCTTGCCCACCAAAGCCCAAGGAGCAGGGGCCCCCTCTGTCCTCCCCTTACCCCCAACCCCCTGGTCCCTTCTGCTAACCACTCCAGGCACCATGATGCCACAGGCTGAGGGCAGCCCCTGCCCCCAAGCCTGGGAAGGGGCCAGCCCCAAGGGGTCCCACGGTGGCCCAGAGAGAAGCCCCTTCTTGCTGACAGCAGGCACCAAGCCCTCTGCATCTGCTCTATCTGCCCGAGAGCCCAGCAGGACGTGTCTCTTCTCTCCCCGTGATGCTTGGCCCACTGCCCCCTCCTTGGTGGCCCCAGAGTCCTCCCAGCCTTGACTCCCAAGCCCGCTCCACAGCCTGGACCCAAGCACTGGGGGTGGGCTATGAACTCCTGAGCCTAGCAGGTCTCCCCTGGGCCCTCCCACCCCTTCCCTCCCATGAAGCCTGTGGCTCTAAGTGCTCAGGACTTCTGCCCCGCCTGGGCCCATCCCCTCTGAGACCTGGACCCAGAACCAGGGCAAGAAGGGAGGCACCTGGAAGCCAGCCGACGTGGGACACAGGGTGGTGAGAGGCTACAGCTCTGCTGAGCCGTGGGAGTGCTGCCGAGGGGGAGGGACAGGGTCTGGCCACATTTCTGCCAGCACCCTCGGGGCACCGATTTGGTAATGGTGTAGGAGAAAGAGGTGGGCTCTGGCCTCTTGAACCAGAGGCTCAAAAAGCACAAGGTCAGACACAGGAGGCTTGGGGTGCCTGGAACTTGAGGCAGGTGAGGGACAGAGGCCCCTGAGCCAGGCTGGGGTGGAGCCAGACGGGAAGGGGCAGGCAGGGTGGCCAAGTGTGCAGAAGGAACAGCGTGTGCTCCGGAGGCTCTCCGTCCGGTCCAGGGGCTGAGAAAGGCTGGAGGTGGCGGACCGACCTGCCCTGCAGGCCCAGGGGGGACCAAGGCATCAGTGCTTGCTCTGAGATTCCCAGTGGGAAGTACACACCGTCCCTTGGCTGGCCCCTGAGCGCCGGCTCTGTTCAGACAGCAGAGGACAGCCCACACACCAGGGCTCCGTGAGGCTGGATGACAAGAGTGGTGGAGTAGTCCCAGCAAGTGGGGACCAGGGAGTGACCTACGGGGAGTGACGCACTAGGGGCGGGGGGGGGGGGGGGGGCATGGGGGGCAACGGGAGGCGTCGGGGGGGGGGGTGGTGAGCTGAGGAGGGGCAGAGACAGGGACCCACGTGGTAGACACTGCGGAGGCAGGAGGCCCAGAACCAAGTGTCACTGGCCCACTGGAACAGGAGCAACACAGCCATCTGGGGACCCCTGGGCTGCCGGACTGCTGTCCCTGTTCCCTGGCATCACCCCGAGACCCACGAACACTGCCAAGCAGAGTGGGGGAGTGGGCAGGGTCAGGACCCCGAGAGCCACATGGGCTGCTGAGCCAGGCGGGAGCCACAGCAGAATTGAGGGCCCCACAGGGTCTGGAGGGTGGGAGCACCGACCATGGCAGGGCCGGGAGGACTGTCTGGGAAGAAGGAAGCAGGAAAGCAACCACTTTCAGAGCCTGGTAGAGGGAGAAGCCCGCTAGGGAGCCTCAGACCTCACCCCTGGGAGCACGGGGTATAGGGTGCCGCCAGGACGGCTGCAGGCCAACCCCAGCCCTGCGCTGTCAGGTGGCTGCACACCCTTCCCCAGGTCTCCCACCGCCTCCTGCTCAAAGCCCACCAGGCCCCTCCCAGCGCAGGGTCCCCCACCTACAACAAGCACCCTTGCAGTCCACACGAACCACAGACCCAGAGGAGCCCCCCCAGGAGCCAGCACTGCCTGGAGCCCGGCCTGTCAAGGCTGCCTGTTTGTCCTGCGGGGGCGGGGGGATCTCCTTTTCAAACCCCAGAGGGGCCTGGAGCATGTGGGGGATGAGCAGGTACCAAGTGATGGGAGCCTGGCAGGCAGACCAGCGGGTGCTGCAGGCCCAGAGACCCCTGCCCCCACTCTGCCCAGAGGACCAGCAGATGGCCGCACACCTCTCGCCCCGCCCCGGGGGCCGCTCCATCCATCCAGCATTGGTGACTGGCATCCCCTCGCCCTCAGGCCCTGCGCCCTGCCATTCCACATGCGCAGGGATCCCGTGCAGACGTGCCCAGCTAGTGCCCGAATGAGCAGCTGAACTGGGCTAGTCAGAGGGGCACGAAGAGCCAGGCCCAGGCCTGACGGCCGGCACCGTACTCCGGGCTGACACGCTGCCCACCGCAGGGGAAGGCGGACGGTGCCATCACTGACCACCATCCCCATCCACACAGGTCTAAATGAAACCTCCTCTGTGCACCCAGGCCTCTGGAGGCTGCAGGACTCCCCACCCGCAGGTGAGGGCCACAGGCAGCCTCCCATCCTCCAGAGTCACCCAGAGCCCCTGCGCCACGGCCCTACCACAGAGTGGCCGTGGCCTGGGGTTTCCATGAGAGGGATCCAGCTACGGAAAGACTTAGCCAGCCCCTCGCCCGGAAGGGAAACAAGCCCGGGCTGCCAGGAGGGCTGGGGGCCCCGTGCAGGTCCTACAGACCCCAGCCAAGACAGGGGTTGGGGTGGGAGGCAGACCCAGCCCTCATTGGGGCTGGCACTGTGGGGGCAGGGGCTCTTTCCTGCCCAACCCCAAAGCACCTGGAACTTGGGAGGCCAGCATGGGCTCCCCGGGGGCCCAGCTCATGGGGTCAGGACCCCCCATGCCTGCCCCACCAACCAGGATGGGCACAGGGCCCCAAGACTCTGCCCGCTATCTCCACAGCTCCAGACAAGGGTCAGTGCTCCACATGGGGGGCCGGCCACTTCTCCACTTTCGACGGCCATGTGTATGACTTCCCGGGAACCTGCAACTACATCTTTGCAGCCATCTGCAAGGACGCACCATCCACCTTCAGTGTCCAGCTACGGCGCGGGCCCAGCGGGAACATCTCCCGGGTCATTGTGGAGCTGGGGGCCTCGGTGGTCACCGTGCAGAAGGCAGTCATCTCCGTGAAGGATGTGGGGTAGGCCACATGGCTGGGGTGGGAGGCTAGGGAGCCAAGGGGGCGGCCCCTGATCACTCTGCTCCTGCAGGGTCGTCAGCCTACCCTACACCAGCAACGGGCTCCAGATCACACCCTTTGGCCAGAGCGTGCAGCTGGTGGCCAAGCAGCTAGAGCTGGAGCTGGTGGTCATGTGGGGCCCGGGCAGTCACCTCCTGGTGAGGACGCTGGCAGCGGTGGCGGGCTGGGTGGTCCAAATCCAGCAGTTTGCCTGGGCTTTGTTGGTGGGCGAGGGTCCTGGGGCGCCCTGACGGCAGTGCCCACCTGCCCACCCACAGGTGCTGGTGGAGAAACGGCACATGGGCAAGCTGTGTGGTCTCTGTGGGGACTTCAATGGCAAGCAGACCGACGAGTTCCTGAGCGAGGAAGGTAGGAGGGGGCTGGGGCCCAGAGCCCCTGCAGCCCGGCCCCCATGGTGCTCACCTCACCCCACCCCACCCCACACCCCCAGGCAAACTGCTGGAACCGCACACGTACGCTGCCCTCCAGACACTGGATGACCCCAGCGAGATCTGCACCTACGTGCCCGTCACCAGCCCCCAGGTCCCACAGGCAGAGCACGTACGTGAGGTGGCGGGGACCCCAAGGGCCTTGGGAGCCCTTCAGACACGGCGGGGGCTGGCCCCCAAGGTCTGACAGGGTCTCCTAGGCCAACAACGCCCCCAGGCTTCTGAGACCGGTGTGGGAGGTGGCCCTGACCCCCATGACCCCTCATGGTCCTCTGCCCAGGCCCAGACTTGCACTGAGCTGCTGACCCAGGTGGCCCCCGAGTGCAACGTGCCCAGAGAGCCATTCGTGCTGAGCTGCCAGGCGGACATGGCCGAGTGCGTCCTGCCAGGCCAGCGGAACTGCAGCTGCGCCACGCTGTCCGAGTACTCGCGCCAGTGCCGCATGGCGGGCCAGGCTGTCAGAAAGTGGCGGGGCCCTGGCCTCTGCTGTGAGTGCTGGGAAGAGCGGCAGGGAGGGCCAGGGCCCCAGGCACCGATGTCTCAGGCACCGACCCCGCCTTGTCTGTGAGCTGGAAGGGGACTGGGGGAAGGGGGGTGGGGCTGAGTCCTTGGCCGGGGCAGGGCAGGTGGCGGGGGTGCTGGAGCACCCCGGCCCCTGTCACAGAGGCTGCACGTGCCTGCAGCTGTGGGCCCATGCCCGGCCAACCAGGTGTACCAGGAATGCGGCGAGGCCTGCATCAAGACCTGCTCCAACCCACAGCACACCTGTTCCAGCTTCTGCACCTTTGGCTGCTTCTGTCCCGAAGGTGAGGGCAACCGCTCCCCTGGGGCCCCTCGAAACTCACCCGGAGACAGAGGGTAGGCCCCTACCTGACTCCAACACAATAGAGCCAGACCCGTCTTGCCCCAGGGAAGGGAAGGGCTTGCCCCCCCCCACACAGACCCTGTGTTGGGGGGGGGCAGTGGGATGGTGTGGCTGGGGAAGGGAAGGGCTTGCCCCCCCCCCAAGACCCTGTGTTGGGGGGGGGCAGTGGGATAGTGTGGCTGGGGTCCAAGAGATTGCTAGGAAGATGTTTTTGATCCAACCAGGAGCAGCACGTGGGTCTGGGCACGTGGGCGCAGGGGGCTGCCAGTGCGGGGGGGCGGTCATCTAGCCACGGGCCCAGGAAACCTGTCTCCCGCAGGGATGGTTCTTGATGACGTCTCCAAAAACCACACCTGTATGCCCGTCACCCGGTGCCCCTGTATGCTCAACGGGGTGGTCTATGCCCCTGGGGAGGTCGTGACAGCCGCCTGCCAGACCTGGTAAGTGCAGGGCAGCTTGCAAGGGGATGGGGATGAGGGGGGGGCACAGGGGTCCTGGGGCAGCCTCAGCCTGGAGCAGCCGGCGTTGCTAGCCCAGAGCGTCTGGGGGTGCCGTCTGGGTAAGCCCTCCCACCTGCAGCCACTGCACCATGGGCCACTGGACGTGCACAGAGCAGCCCTGCCCCCGGCGCTGCTCCCTAGAAGGCAGCTCCTTTGTGACCACGTTCGACGCCCGGCCCTACCGCTTCCACGGCACCTGCACCTACATCCTCCTCCAGGTAGGACACGCCACTACCAGGGGGCCCGCCCCAAGGGGTCACCATGGGGGGGGGGCATCACAAGGACCACCCGCGGCCACCTGGGCTAAGCCTCACCCCCCTCCCAGAGCCCGCAGCTCCCCGATGGGGGCTCCCTCGTGGCCTCGTACGACAAGTCTGGGTACTCTCACTCGGAGACGGCCCTAGCTGCTGTCATCTACATATCCAGAGAGGTAAGGCCACCCCGCCACACGGACGCTGCACCCACCCCGCTATGTCCCGCCAGGCCTGCAGGAGGGGAGGCCTCCCCCTGTTCCTGGCACCCCTGTGACTCAGGCCACCCTCCCTCTAGGACAAAATCGTGATTTCTCGGGACGAGGTCCTCACCAACAACAGGAACACCAAGTGGCTACCATACAAGACTCGTACGTCCTCAGCCCCTGCCCAGCACCTAGGTCCTCACTGGGCCAGAGTCCCCAAGCAGGCTGCCTCCTGAGCCCCCTCTCCCCCCAGGCAACATCACCGTCTTCAGGCAGACGTCCACCCACCTCCAGATGACCACCACCTTTGGCCTGGAGCTTGTGATCCAGCTAGAGCCCGTGTTCCAGGTGTATGTCACTGTCGGGCCCCAGTTCAGAGGACAGACCAGAGGTGAGCCCCTCCCTGTCCCTGCCCAGAGCCGGCCTGATGGCCCCATCCCTGCCCAGTGTGGCCACAGCAGAGAAAGGGCCCAAACAGAGCCCTGCATATCCAGCACTCACGACCCCAGCCTGGCCTTCCTGGGGCCGGTGACAGCTTAGTGCCCCAGACATGGTGACGGGAGGAGAGGGGCTTCAGAGCACAGGGCAGGGCGGGAGCACAGGCTGGCCCCCTCACGGCCCGGCTGGTGCAGGTCTCTGTGGCACCTTCAATGGGGACACGACAGATGACTTCATGGCCAGCACGGGCATCGTGGAGGGCACCGCCTCGCTCTTCGTGGACTCCTGGCGGACAGGGAACTGCCCGGCCTCGTTGGAGCGCGAGACAGACCCCTGCTCCATGAGCCAGCTCAACAGTGAGTGCCGGGCCCTGGGAGGTCTGTGGGTGGGCACAAGGCCCAGACCAGGTGAGCAAGAGACCCATGCCTCCCCTGTCCCCCCAGAGGTGTGTGCAGAGACCCATTGCTCAGTGCTGGTGAGGGACAGCACAGTGTTCCAGAGGTGCCACGCCACGGTGAACCCCAGGCCCTTCTACAAGGTGGGCAGGGCCAGCAGGAACCCCAGGGGGCGGGCCCTGGGGGTTGGGGGGGGCTGGACGCCCAGCTAACAAGCCGTGTCCACACGCAGAGGTGCGTGTACCAGGCCTGCAACTATGAGGAGACCCTCCCACACGTGTGCGCCGCCCTGAGTGACTATGCCCGCATGTGTGCCACACACGGCATCCTGCTGAGGGACTGGAGGAGCAGTGTGGACAATTGCAGTGCGTGCCGGCGGGCGCAGGCAGGGGTGGGAGGGGTGCAGGGGCACCCAGCATCCCCTGAGGGCCTGACCCCAGTCCCCCCACAGCCACCCCCTGCACGGGCAACCAGACATTCGGCTATGACATCCGGGCCTGCGGCCGCACGTGCCTATCATTGTCTGACCGCGCCACCGAGTGCCATCTGAGTGCCGTGCCCGTGGACGGCTGCAACTGCCCCGAGGGCACCTACCTCAACCACAAGGCCCAGTGCGTGCGTAAGGCCCAGTGCCCCTGCCTCCTGGACAGCAACAAGTACATCCTGGCTGACCAGTCCGCCATGGTCAACGGCGTCATCTGGTAAGCGCGGGGCTCCCCAGGGGGGCCGGCCCACCCTAGCCTGCAGCCCCCAGCCCGGAACCAGTGCACTCACACAGCCTACCTCTTGCAGCTACTGCATCAACGGCAGGCTGAGCTGCCCGGGGCGCCCACAGATGCTCCTGGGTACGTAGCTGTGCTGAGGCCGGCAGGCCTGGGCTGCCAGGTGTGGTGGTCCCTCCAAGCCCGCCTCACCCCAGCTCTGCCCCCTTCCCTGCAGCAACCTGCTCAGCCCCCAAGACCTTCCAGGCCTGTGGCGAGTCTTCAGAGAACACATTTGGGGCAGCCTGTGCCCCTACATGTCAGATGCTGGCCACCGGCACCCCTTGCGTAAGGCTTGGGCCGAGCGAGGGGCAAGGGCACTCCGCAGAGGGCAGTCCCCACCAGAGAGCCACGCCCAGGGCCTCTCCCTGGACCATGAGAGGGTTTTCACAAAATCCCCAGGGAGGGCAGGGCCACGCAGTCCATCTGTCCCTGTCACCCCGTGATGAGGGTGGCTGGTGCCCAAAGGGGGCTGAGAGGCTCAGCAGTGGCTCTGGTGACCAGGCAGCTGGAGGGTGGGGGTGCCTGTGTGGGGGGCTCCCCGAGGACTGTGGGCCTGGTCCCCCACTGCCTGGGGAGGGGGCACAAGCTCAGGAGGGGCACAGAAGCACCAGAACCTGCCTGGTGGCTTCGCTGAGAGGCCTGGAACAGGGGTGGACACAGGCAACGGACGGGGAGGAACATCGGGGGTCTCAGAAGGGCCCGGGGCAACGGCAGCAGTAGGCAAAGCCACCCTCCCAGGGGCCACTGACCCTCTCCCTGCAGGTACCCACCAAGTGCGAGCCTGGCTGTGTCTGCGCCAAGGGGCTCTACGAGAACGCTGCCGGGCAGTGCGTACCCCCCGAGGAATGTCCATGCGAGTTTGCGGGGGTCTCCTACCCCCGGGGCGCCGAGCTCCACACCGACTGTAAGACATGGTGAGTCACAGCCTGAGCCCAGAGCCCCCGGTGGCCTGCGGCTGTCCCTGGGGTGCCCCAGCAACTCCACCAAGGTCAGGGTCCAGTGGGAATACACGTGTGGCACGGGTCCCCCTGAAGCCCCACAATGGCCCACCTCCCTCCCCAGCACCTGCTCCAGAGGGAAATGGGCGTGCTGGCAGAGTGCCCGCTGCTCATCCACCTGCACCCTCTACGGGGAGGGCCACGTGGTCACCTTCGATGGTCAGCGCTTCACGTTCGACGGCAGCTGTGGGTACATCCTGACCACGGTAAGGCTCCGCTCTGGGCCATGGGGGGTGGGGACCCCAGGGGCCAGCAGGTGGGCTCCTCCTCAGCGCCCGCATCCCCACAGGATGGCTGCGGAGCCAACAACTCGCAGCCCACCTTCAAGGTCCTGACGGAGAACGTTGTGTGTGGGAAGTCGGGCGTCACCTGCTCCCGGGCCATCAAGATCTTCCTGGGGGTGAGTGAGCTGGGTGGGGCCTCTCCACACCTCAGCCCCCAGACCCCCACGTCCTGGCCTCTTGGTGCCCCCGGGCCCCCCGTCTGCATGGCGGGCAGCAGTGTCTCCTGGCGTTGGACAGCTACGCGAAGGGAAGGGCTTCTCCCAGAAGCCTGACCCTCAGCCCTCGGTGCAGTTTCCACCATGTTCTGGAACATTTTGCCAACAGCAGTTTCTAGAGGGCAGGCCCCCAGCAGAGAACCAGCCCTGGGCAGGCACAGGCCCACACGCTCCCTTAACAGATGGGGTCCTCCCTACCTCAGACAGCTTGGGCAGGGGATGCAGAGCCTGCAGATGTTCAGCGGCTGCCAGGACAGGAGACAGGCAGCCGCGTGACAGCCCCACCCCACAGGGCCTGTCCATCGTGCTGGCGGACAGGAACTACACGGTCCGCGGGGAGGACCCCCATGTGCGTCTGCGGGTCAACACCGGGTCCCTGAACCTGGTGCTGGACATCGCCATCGGCAACAGGTACAACATGACCCTCGTCTGGAACAAGCACATGACTGTCTTCATCAGGATTACGCGTACCACCCAGGTACTGGCGCTGCCCCAAGGCCCAGGGCCATCCGCGGGGCAGGGGCAGCGCCCGGCCTGACACGAGCCCCCCTGCAGGATGCGCTGTGTGGCTTGTGTGGCAACTACAATGGGAACATGAAGGACGACTTTGAGACACGCAGCAACTACGTGGCATCCAGTGAGCTAGAATTTGTGAACTCGTGGAAGGACAGCCCGCTGTGCGGGGACACCAGCCTCGCACTGGACCCCTGCAGCCTCAACACATTCCGCCGCAGCTGGGCAGAGCGCAAGTGCAGCATCATCAACAGCCCCACCTTCACCGCCTGCCACAGCCAGGTGGGCCCGCCCTCAGGGCCCGCGACCCGGCTCCTAGCACAGCCTGGGCCGCGGGGCAGGCACTGAGGGCCCATTCCCACAGGTGTACCGCCTGCCCTACTACGAGGCCTGTGTGCAAGACACGTGTGGCTGTGACACTGGCGGGGACTGTGAGTGCCTGTGTGATGCGGTGGCCGCCTATGCCAAGGCCTGCCTGGACAAGGGCGTGTGCGTGGACTGGAGGACCCCGGACTTCTGCCGTGAGTGCCCCGCCCAGGCCCACTCTCTGGGGCGGGCACGGGTGCAGGCTCGGGCCCCCTGACCCGCGCGCTGAGAGCCTGACAGACGCCCCTTCTCCCAGCTGTCTACTGTGACTTCTACAATACCCACGCTCAGGGGGACGGCACACACCAATATGGCCAGGAGGCCAACTGCAGGTGGCACTACCAGCCGTGCCTCTGCCCCAAGCACCCGCAGAGCTTCCCAGACACCAACACCGAAGGTACAGCGGAGAGAGTGTGGCCTGAGCGAGGCCCGCAGACAGCAGACGGGCGATGGAGGGCAGGGTCAGAGTCTGGGGATGTGAGGGAGGGGGCCCTGCATCCAGGCTTCCGGCAGAGGCAGGGGACTGGGCATGGACAGACAGGGGAGAGGGCCCTCCCCATCACCCTCTGTGCCACCCCCTCTCCAGGCTGCTACAACTGCTCCCAGCACGAGTATTTCGACCCCAGCACGGGGACCTGCGTTCCTTGCGGTAAGCTCCGCATGCCGCCCAGGCCCCACACCCCACACCCACCAGCCTCTGGCTGGAGTGGCCAGCCCCCACACAGACCTGTGGCCAGCCTCCTGGCAGACCCCCCGCAGGGCGTGCCCTCGGGTGCAGAGACTCCCAGGGACCCAGGCAACCGGGGCCAGGGCAGCAGAAACAGGAAAAGCACCAGCCTCCCCTCTCTTCCCCTTCCCAATCATCAGCAGCCCCAGGGCAGACCTGACCCTGCCATCCTGCTGGGGTGTGTGGGTAGAGAGCAGCAAGCCACTGGGGATTCAGCACCAGCTCGCCTGGATCGCTGCCTACAGTGGCACGGGACAGGGGAAGAGATGGGGACGGGGACCAGGAGCAGGGGCTCAGGCCCCTCTGTGGCGGCTCCGTCCCCCTGGGTCCTCAGCTGGGTGGGGGCAGCGCTCCTGACTGCCCTTCTCCTTGCAGTGTCACCGCCCACCACGCCGAGGCCCACCACAGGTGACTATACACACTAGGTGCCAAGGTGAAGCAGGCCCACCGCCAGCTCTAGCCCGGCTTGGCAGGACAGCCCCTGGCCAGCCCAGGCTGTGTCTGTCGGGTGCCTGGGCGCCCAGGGCCCTGACCACCGACACTGCTGTCCCTGGGTCCCCAGAAGCGGGTGTGGGCTGGGGCGGGGACTGAGCCTGGGCTGCCCCTGGGGCCGCTCGGCAGTCAGAGGGGAGCGGGCACACAGACCCTGCCCCAGCAGGCCCACCGCAGCCCCCGCCCCGGGCAGCCATGAACAACAGTGGGGCTGACAGGGAGCTCAGGGTGAGGGGTGGGGGCCGGGGCCCACACTTCCCCCGAGAGAATGTTCTGTTGACCTCCTTTGCAGGCAGAGTCCCCTGTCCTTGGGACTGGAGCTCAGTTTCCATGAAAGGCTTTTTCTTTTTTTTTTTTTTTTTTTAAAGATTTTATTTATTTACTTGAGAGACAGAGAGAGAATGAGAGACAGAGAGCATGAGAGGGAGGAGGGTCAGAGGGAGCAGCAGACTCCCCGCTGAGCAGGGAGCCCGATGCGGGACTCGATCCCGGGACTCCAGGATCATGACCTGAGCCGAAGGCAGTCGCTTAACCAACTGAGCCACCCAGGCGCCCTGAAAGGCTTTTTCTGAGGATAACCTGTCACAGAACGTGACCATTCTTTGCTGCCTGATACTCGTGATAGAAAACACGTAGGACGGGCCACCTCAAGGATCCCTGGGAGCCCACCCCGCCCCACACAGCAGAACCCCTTCCAGCTTCCCGGAAACCATGGGGGAACAAGACATCCACCCTGTTAGCAAGGGTGGGTGGACGGAGAGGCAGTGGCCCAGTAAGCATGGGTCCCTGAAAACATCACTGTGGCCACTCAAGCCAGGGCCAGCCAAGGAGGCCAGGGGGTCAGCTAGGGGAAGGCACACCCCTCCCATGGGGTACAGTGGGGGCAGGGAGCTCAGATTCAGCGGGAAAGTTGCAGAGGGCTCTGGAGGAATGTTCTGAGCACTGTTCCCTGCAGAGTCACCCCGAACCATCTCTGCCATCACCACACGGGCCACTTCGGCACCAGCCCCAACGGCCACACTCAAGTCCACGGCCACAGGACCCACAGTGATGCGGACCACAGCATCCACACTCAGCTCAGCAGCACAATCCACGGCTCAGTCCACAGAGCACACCACAGCATTACCACGGACCCCAGAAACTTCAGAAATGTACACAGAAACCCCAACAAGTAAGCACACCACACGTGACTGTCCCCAAAAAGGGGCAGAAGCACATATGCCTGGAACCCGACCAAAGCTGTACAAGTCCGTGTGGGGCTCCACGGGCCAAGTTGGTGCAAAAGGCAGGGGGACTCCCCCAAAACCCAACCCCAAGCACACCGCACTAACTACGCTCCGCTCAACTTCTCCACGGCATTAGCACAACACCCACCCATCACAACCACCCCCGCCCCAAGTGACCACAGACCCGAGGACACGGCAACATTCACAAATACACCTGCAGTACAGTCCCCACACCCTCGGAGCAGGCAACGTGTCCCCGTTCTTCCCAGAGCATCAGAAGAATCACGTCAGGAGGCCAGAAGCAGGATGTGACAGGGAAATGCCCACCCAAACGCAGAGCAAACACCTGACACTGGAGAGGGCAAAGGAGCCACAAACAGTCACAGGAAATTCCCCAGTACTCCCTTCGCGGGGCTAAGATACAAAGGGGTAACAAACACAGGGAAAGACACGGGGGGGGCAAAAAGAGACTGCAGAGACAAGACACTCAAAAATGCTGGGAGTCGCCACCAGGGACCCTAAGGAGCCATGGAGGGGGAGGACATTTCCCCAACAAAGCAGACGAGATGGGTGGTTCAGTGAGGGGTTACTCACAAGAAAAATGATTGGCACACGCTGTTTCCACAGGGCCCACCACTCATCAAAGGACCCCCAACACGCATGTGACCAGGGAGACACAGCACACGGAGACACCTACATCCCCTGAGGGCAACGTCGGCTACACTACCGAGCACACAACGGCACAAGAAACACCGACGTCAAGCAACTCACACGGGCAACTACCCTCTCGCTCCGCGCCCACGCCAGCTATTTCCACCACGGCCCCTACGACAGGTCCCCCCACGGGGACTGCCGTCCGGATGACCACTGCCTTGCCCACCCCACCACGCCCCGACACCACCCTCTCCACGAACGCTGCCCCCTCTACCACGTCCTCGGTGACTCCCACTACCCACAGCGTCATCACCCCAACACACCCAGAGACCCCTTCCTCCCCCTCCACGGCCAAGCCCACGACCCTGCCACTCACTCGGACCAC